TCTAAAATCCTATTTTTGATAACAATTAATTATGAACAATACAAATATGATTTTGTATAATAAAAATGATGTTTTAGGCATATAAAACATTATGTGATGCATGACGGTAAGTTAGAGTGTTAACACTCAAAACTAGACCGCTATTTGTTATCAATTGTTATGTTCATTAATGATTATGATGAATGATTATTATGGATGATCATGAATAATGAACTAACTGATCAAAATGATTATTGATGATTCAGCCATGAGAGTAATGAATATATTGATAATTATTAAACGATTTGTATTGTTAAACGGTATCTAGAAGAATTCTAAGATATACCTATTAGTTAATTGATGTTAAGGCTATCTAGAATACCTCTAGAATAGATCTTGTATTAGAACAGGCTTATGAAAACATGAACATTTGATGAATTAGATAAAAACGCATAAATGGGATTCATAGACCAAACTAGAGGATCACTCGTTTGGGAATGCCCGATCTAATGTTGATCAATCGCTATATTGTTGTTGCCTTAACTGACTACAGTTAAGTGTCCGAATCATTTGCCTTAAACTAGTGATAGTTTAAGTGTCTGATTGCCTTAACTGACTGCAGTTAAGTGTCCGAAATCGATTGCCTTAAACTAATGATAGTTTAAGTGTCTGATTAATGATTGCCTTTTAGGAATCTGGTTATAGAAATTATGATCTAGCCTTAGACTAAGAATAGCTAAGAGTATTGTTATAATCTTGCTTTAGATTAAGAATAATTTAAGAGCACTATTGAAATAGTATCTGAATTGAATAAAATGTATTGATATGAACTGAACAATACCAAAACTGTGAATGTTTGAAATGAACATTTTGTGCATGATATCAAATGATTTGATTATGAATTTAGATTCAGTTTATATGGATGTTCGACGCATTAGATATGCTTACTCAGCTTTACCGCTGAGCGTGTACTGTGTTTTATTTGCTACACGCAGGTAAGCAGAAAGCAGAATGTGATCCTGGCGGCAGATGGGGCGAGATTGTCGGGATGGATGTGACAAGTTTTGAAACAATTTATGATATGTCAATATTAAAATCGCTTCCGCAATATTGTTGAATACTCCGTATTGTATATGTATTAAAAAAACTATTATTGGGATTAATAAAGTGTGTTTGAAAAGTTTTAAATTTTTACGATTACCAAGTTAAATACTTTAGTCTGAATGGGGCTGCAGACCTGGACGGATTAGGGTGTTACAACAACAGCTGCTAACTCCAAGTCATGAGTCGGATAATTGCATTCATGGGGTTTCAGCTGTCGTGATGCATAAGCTATGACCTTGCCTTCCTGCATCAGCACACACCCAAGTCCCTGATGTGATGCGTCACTGAAAACTGTATATTCAGTACCAGGTGTTGGTTGAACTAACACAGGTGCCTGAGTCAAACAGTCTTTCAACTGTTCAAAGCTTTTCTGACAAGCTTCTGTCCAAGCGAACTTGACATCCTTCTTCATCAGTTTATGCAGTGGTGTAGCAATTCGAGAGAATTCCTTCACGAAGCGGCGATAATAACCAGCGAGTCCAAGGAAACTCCGTGCCTCACGGGTATTGCGTGGAGTTTTCCATTTAGTGATTTCTGAAATTTTGCACGGGTCAACTTTGACTCCTTCTGCAGAAATCACGTGACCGAGAAAAGTGACCTCATTCAGCCAAAACTCACATTTAGAAAGTTTGGCATAGAGTTTATGCTCTCTCAAAATACTTAGCACGATGTGCAAATGTTCAGCATGATCCTCTGGTGTTTTTGAGTAGACCAAAATATCATCGATGAAGACCACAACAAATTGATCCAAATACTGTCTGAAAATGCTATTCATGAGATCCATGAGTACAGCTGGTGCGTTCGTTAAGCCAAAGGGCATAACTGTAAACTCGTAGTGTCCGTAACGTGTACGAAACGCTGTCTTTGGAATGTCTTCTGGTTTCACAGGAATCTGGTGGTAACCTGATTTGAGATCGATCTTTGAGAAAACAGTCGCACCTCGTAATTGATCAAACAGGTCGTCAATACGGGGTAAAGGATAACGGTTCTTGATTGTCACTTTGTTCAGCTGGCGATAGTCAATGCATAGTCTCATCGATCCATCTTTCTTACGGACAAAAAGGACAGGCGCTCCCCACGGGGAAAGACTAGGACGGATGAAACCCTTATCTAACAACTCCTGCAGTTGAGCTTTCAATTCCTTCATTTCTGTAGGGGCCATTCGATAAGGTGATGCTGAGATGGGTCTTGTACCGGGTACAAGATTAATAGAAAATTCTACTTCCCTTGAAGGAGGTAGACCTGGAAGTTCCTCAGGGAATACATCAGGAAAATCACAAACCACAGATATGTCCTTATGGTTAGCTGTTTCCTTCCGTATATCCTTAACAGTGCACAAGAATGCTTTGCATTTCCTGCGAATGAGCCGTTTTGCTTGCATAAAAGAGATGAATTCTGGGGCCTTTGGGAGAAGTTCTCCCCGAATGATTACTTCGTTACCATCATCTGTACGAAGTTTCACAACTCGTTCCTTGCACTCAACAATAGCCTGGTGTTTCGACAGCTAGTCCATGCCAAGTATAACGTCAAACTCCTTGTGAGGGAGTTCAATGAGATCGGCCAAGAATATCTTTCCTTGAGCCATCAACGGACATTGATTATAGACATGTTGGAGACGTAGACTGTGTCTCAGTGGGTTCGACACAACTACCGGATGCTCAAGAGTTTCCTTAGTGACGTCAGATGTAACAGGCATAGGTACACATATGTATGATAAGGTAGATCTAGGGTCAATTAATGCAGATACCGTGATATCAAATAAAGTGAACATACCCATGATGACATCATCAGCCTGCGGATCTCTACGCCCTTGCATGGCATATGTACGAGCTGGTGCTCGTCCCTGCTGTTGACTAGTTGCTGGCTTCTTTGGTTGGTTGGGCGCGGCCGTAGAACGATGACTCTAGGTAGGCTCAGCCCTTCGGAAAGTAGGAGCAGTCGGCGTGCCTGGTGCCGTGGAGAAAGCCTTTCCTGGGTTCGTCGGGCAATCGTTCCGGAAGTGACCTGCCTGACCACACCCGAGGCAAAGACCCTGTGTGAACCAACACTCACCAGCATGTCTGCAGTTACAATGTGGACATACTGGATTACGGTATGTCATCTTCCCCTTCCAGCTCTTACTAGTGACGGCCACAGATGTAGAGGGAGTAGATTTCGCTCGCTTATCATGGCGAGAGTTGCTTGGTGCGGAGAAAGTCCTCTTGCTCCCATGCCCCATTTTCAGGCCTGAATGGACAGCCCGACTTTCTACCAGTAGTGTCTGTTCATACGCAGCTTTCCTGATGAGTTCCTCGTTCAGCTCAAGAGCTTTCTTATAGACATCGTTGATGTCGGCTCGGGGAGCAATTATGTGTGTTGACGACAGGTCTAGTCTCATACCCTTGATGAACTTCTTGCAGCGCTTCTCCGTGGTGTTGACCAAGTCTTTACCAAACTCGTCCAATCCGTCAAACTACTGACAGTATTCGGGAAGAGTCAGCTTCCCTTGAGTGAAATTGGAGAATTCCTCATATTTGGACTGTACATAGTGATCGAGCACATACTCTGCTCTGAAGAGTGGCTCGAAGGTAGTCCATGGTACTGGAACGGGATTGTTGGCGCCCACTCTTTTCCACCAATCATAGGCGGCATCTTGCAATAGGGATATGGCGTGCTGTCCCCAATCCTCGATAGGTATCTTCAAATTCTCGAGTACCCTCACCGTGCGTTCTTGCCAATGCTTGGCTATTTGATGGTCCGCTATCTGGTCGCCACAGAATTCCTGCGCCCCATTCCTCTTGAGTTTTTCAATCGAGACAATGGGTGCAGGAGGAGGAGGTGGTGGTGGTACGTGCGCTCCAACCATCTGCTGGAAGAACTGGAACATGTTCGCAACCATTTGTGGTTGGAACATCGGAATGGCTAAATTCGGGTTCTGACCCGCGAACTGCTCCAGAACGGGCTGAGGTTCTAGCAGAGGCTGCGGCTGCTGGGGCACGTAACTTGATGCTTCAGTGTGCACCGTATGCACACTAACGTGCTCAGGCTCCATGTGAGGGTTTGCCTGACCGTGAGTCGTGTCCTGACTCATTCTATAATTAATTTAAATTGTAATTAGTCATAAGTAAATTAATTGTTTTACCTTCCCGGGCAGAGATGTGGAGAGATGCGGACTTGTGTTTGAAACTCTTTTAATTTGATTTCCAAAATCATTTTTTTAGATCGAATGCTCTGATACCAAAATGTAACACCCTAACTCGAATAACCCAATTACCTAGATTATTTGAGCCGGAGTAGTTACCATGATGGTAAATACGCATGGTAATTTGAAGGATAATTTAAAACCAATTTAAACTTTAACATAAATGATAATTCCAAATATTAAATTCAGAGTATTGCTGAAACAGTACGGAAGCTTAAATATAAAACATAATCAAATTGTTTTACATTTTTCTGGGTTCTCGTCCAAAAAGGTATTTATTTAATTAAAGCATCATAAATGTGGTCCACCAGTCCGTGCATCTCGTCACTCTCATTGACCTCCGGGATGGGCTCCATGATCAGTATTGTTACCTACGTGTAGCAAGTAAAACAAACTACACGCTCAGCGTCAGCTGAGGAATACGCTAATATAACAATTCCAAGTTGAATAGCAAGTAGACATACAATTATTCATGATGTGACATAATATAGCATATATGTTCAAGATGATGGTAATGATACGTAATTGATGCCATACGTAATCATAATGATTGCACTTGATGATGATTTCATGCTGTATGATTCTAACGAGCAAGGACACCCTTGCGCTATGAGGTTCGCCCATTTGGTACGACGAACTCACGCGACCTTAGTCTCACAAGGAAGACTAGAAAGTAGGGGTGCTACTCGAAACCTGAATACCATGTACGTACACTAAGCCCGAACGTTTGATGTCGGACTACTAAGTCCCGCACAATCACGCTATAAGAGACGCAATTACGCATGATCTCTTACGCATGCACATGATGTGATATGCTTCAATATAAATGTTGAAATGAATGACATGATGTGAACAATTTGCAAACAATATGAATATATAATCATGCATTAGTTTATTTGGATGAAACATGATTAGAATATCATTTAATAAAACTACTGGGCTTAGAACGGTCGACCGTTTGGCGCGACGGTCGACCTTGATCTTCATCAGGTCGGATTGGCGATTCATCGTGACGGTCGACCGTGGTTGACCGGCGGTCGACCGTTGTTGACTGGAGGTGGACGGCGGTACTTGGCTGGGCAAGCGACGGTCGACCGTTTGTCTAACAGTCTTGCTCCGTTTCGATTTTTAACGCAACGGTTGACCGTTTACGTCGACCGTTTGGTTTTGCGAATCCTATTTTTGATATTTTTGGATATCTAAAATACTTCTTTGAGTTATTTTAACACTTATGACTAACATATCTATGTATTTGAAGTATTCTTAACATTTATATTTTCATTTAAGGTGAAGTATCAAGAAAAACATATTTTTACTTTATGAGTTTAATGAGCTTGATCTTAAAGCATAAATGACTTATAATATGGCAATCAATCCTAACGATATATCTAGATTGATATTCAACCAAGGATTGCGTTACTAAGGTGCAATGTACTCGCCTTGATATCGTAGAGGATGGAAATGATAGAAAAATAATAATACGCCTCAACGAACGTTCAACGTACGGTCGCCCCTATCAACTTCGAGCTTCCGACGTTCAATCTTCTTGGAAATAATCTTCGGAAGTTTCTAATAACCACGAGAGAGTTGACGGTAAGTAATTGGAAAGAAACAATGTGAAAATGATGAAGAAACATGGCCAACCCGAGGAGCCCGCCACCACAGGAGCAGTCCCGGTATTTTTGCCATATCTCCTTCGATACTTAACGAAATCACGAACCGTTTGTTGGGTTGGATTCGTAAGGTCCGGGGCTACGATTTTGGTATAATAAACAATTTGATAAAATGGATAGAAAATTACAGAATTTACGAAGAAGTTGATGCTGCGTTTTTGAGCTTAAGATTTGGGAACCTTGACACTTCTTCTTGTTTCTCCTTCTTCTTCCTTGGCTCAACAATGGAGTATTTTTGGGTTTTCTTCCTCCTGAGCTGCTGCCGACAGAGAGAGGATGGGGAGGGGATGAATGATGGACGGATGATGGTGATAAGGTGTGAGGATGATGATGGTGGTGGTAGGGTGATAATATAGGAAAAGTAAATTGGAGGGATGTGGTAGTGGGGTCCTAATGTGGTTTGATTGAGGATTGGAAGGGATGGGGGGAATGTCTCTACGTGATTTGGAGGGTTTGGGGAATCAAATTTATTCTCCTACTCCGTAACTGATAAACTGGCTAAAACGGTACGCGCTTTTTCGCCCAAACTGTTCCGAATTGAAAACGGATCGAAAATTTGGAATCAGACTGTCAAAACTAAAATTTTGATATAATTAGAATATTTTTCTGAAAACTTAAATTTTTCAGTGTTTGGGTCTGTCTCAGTCAATAATTAATATTTAATTTAATTAATTCTTTTAGGCCTAATTTCGGGGCGTTACAAGATATACCGTGCAGAAATTCACACAAGTGTAATTGTTGGTTCATTATTCCACAACCAACTACATAGTGGATTTTGAGGACGTAGAAGGATTACCCCACCTTCGAACCTCGTTAAAGTTTGCGTGTCTCTCTCTTTTATCTTTACTCATACTTGCTACTATATTATGTTGGTCTTATGGGGGACCATCGATCACTCTTAAGGATTCACTACTGTGCTAGTCACGGTATCGGGTACTAACAGCCCAACCTAACAAGGTACACGAGTCGTGTATCTTGTGAAGCCCCTCCTGTCCATTCACCGCTCAGTAGTGGGGCTCCGCTCTGCCGTAGTAAACTATAGGGGGTGCCCTATAGGAATCTACCTCAGCTTGGGGCTACAGAGATGTGGTTAAATACAAAGTGTCCACCTTCCTATCACCATTAGAGAGATTTATGGGTATTTTTAAAAGATATGTGAGGAATCGGTATAGACCTGAGGGCAGTATTATTGAAGGATACTTGGCAAAAGAGATTATTGAATTCTGTAGCAAGTATTTGGATTTGGAGTGCACGGTTGGGGTACCGAAGTCTCGGCATGAATCTAGAACTGAGGGGAAAGGAACAATAGGACATCACATATGGGCCAGGGTGGATATGCCATGCTTCAGCGTGAGTTTGCCACTGCTTCTCAGGCCACCACTTCTGCCGATATCGCTGGTTCGTCTATCGAGACGAGTTCTCAGCTCGGACGGGAGGACTCTTGGTTGCGAGGTCACAGCCCGGGGAGGCAGGCAGAAGTTACGGACCCTGCACTGATGGAGATTCATCATAGGATAGTAAGCATATAATCTACAATTATGTCAATATATTTGTTTATTACTTGTTTATTATTTGCTTACAATTTCTTTACTTCTTTTCTTTCTTAACTAGTATCACACACGTGCGTTGCACGGATCATATTTACATTACGAAATTGAAATATGCTAGAAACCGAAATATAAAACTCTAAGGCTTGAATATCAAATAAATTACTAATTGTAAAAAACTTCTTTATAAACTAAACTGATACTCTTGAATCATTGATTACAACATTATTTTTTTTCAAAAGAAACAGAGTGCAATATATCCAAATGTAGGAAGAATTCACCGGTGAATTGATAATTGTCTTGTCTGTTTCATTTTAGAACTATTGGCAATATTTGACGAAAATCTCTACTAAACATAATTATTTTTAATCTGAACATTTGATTTTCACCCATTGGATTGGAAAATTATAAAATATCGTGTAAATGTCTATCTAAAGCTTTGAAAATACTTATGTGTTATTGATGCTTCATCCCAAATAATTAGATGAATTTTAAATTAAAATTTATAACCCATCTATTCATATTTAATTATTTAGTTTGCTTTTCGAACTTAATGTTTGACCAATAATATCTCTTAAAATATATTAGAAAATTTTTTTTAAAAATAATACATTTAAAAAAATTTCAGTATCAAGAATTTGGTATAATTTTTATTCTTTTATTTATTGAATATTTTTATATATAGTTAGCCAAAATTTTGACATACAAAGTGAAAGTGACACTTGAATATGAATGGAGTGAGTATCTAGTATTAACTAAAATAATAGTAAAAGACTTTTAACCATTAATATTCCACCTATTATTATCAACACCCCACCTTTTATTAATATTATTATTATTATTATTATTATTATTATTATTATTATTATTATTATTATTATTATTATCCACAATATACTTTCGTCCCATTGACTTTTTTTAATATTCTATAGAATTTGAAAAAATCATTAAAAAATTTAACTAAAATAATATTATTATGATTATCACTCTACCAATTATTATTAATAGTCCATTTTTTGTTAATAATGTTCAACCGTCTATCCCGTTTTTAAAGTAGTAGTAGTAGTAGTAGTAGTAATAATAATAATAATAATAATAATAATAATAATAATAATAATATCCTTATTATAATTCATACCCACTACATATTTTAGTCCTATTAATTCTTTTTTTATTTTTTTATTTATTTTTTTTAAAAATTGGTTTATACATTAACGTTGGAAAAAAAATAGAGTAACACTTATTTTATAGTCTCAAAATTAAATTTCATCATTCCCTTTATATGCATAATAAAGAATATTACAAACTATAATATAAGTTACCATTTATATATCACTATTATGGTACACAAAATTTTACCATTTATATATTATTTATGTTAAGGAAATTAGGAATATTATTTTGACTTTAAAAGCCACGGGGAAAAATAAATTGTTCCATCCAAACTAAAAATAATTCTTCCCTCCAAATACTCCCAAACTTTGTTATGACTTAGCACTTTTTTCCATTATCACACGGGTACTCTATATTTATGTCAATTATTTTTTTTATTTCCATTTCCCTTTGGACTTATACTCCATAACTTTTTAGTCGTTTATCACATTTTCCATGCACTTGAAAGATACGTTTAATAAAATTTTATTATTTTTAAACATATTGAAATAAAACCATTCATATTATATTTATATTGAAACATACTCTGTAATATTTTTTCATGAGTAACTCTATAATAGACCTAAGGTCCACATTGACCTTCTCACCTATTTTTTAATTTTAAAAATACTTATTTCAACATTTGAAAATATTTATTTAGCATATGAAAGTCCATCATGGATTATGGATGCATGTAATAATTTTCCTTTTTCATACATCGAGGTCAAAATTTTACAAACATTGATCTGTAAAAATCAAATAGAAAGATTAATCATATGTTGAACTAAACTAAAATGAAAATAAATTCAAAAAAATATTTACACTGTTACTAATGAATATTATAAGAATTGAGCATGAAATAATATGAAATGTGAAGAGTCTCCATTATAAATTGATTTCCAATTAAGGAGAACTAAGTACTCTATCTATGGTAATAGGCACATTTTTAGTATTACGATGACAAAAAAAGCTTCAATTTTGTAAAAGCGGTAATTGAGATACTTAATTGGGCCTGAAAGCACATTAATGGCACTCCATTAGTTGATACTTAATTAGCCGTTGCTCTTTGGGAACATATATGATATATCAACTTCCAATAATAAAATACATTAATATATTACTATAAAATACATACTTGCTATATATATAATCTAAAGTCAATGAGCGGGGAAATGAGGTCAACAATTCACCTCTTTTTAAATAAAGTATTTAAAAAGGTCCAGCTGAAGAAAGAGGTCGCAGCCGATACCTTTGTGCCAGATGGGCACAATGATGTATTAACTAGAGCTTTAGGGACTGCCGAGCACCCGGGGCGGACAAAGGGTGTTGGGTAATATTCGGGCTTATGTAAAGTTTTCAAAGGCAACATGAAGCCTCGTAAGTCCGAAGGTAACTATATGACTGAGGAGGATCTTTTGCAGCGTCCTCCTTCCCTTCTGCAGCAGTATGGACTATGTGTGTCCAGGGGTGATCCAGACTTAGCATCCATGTCGCAGCACACACCTTCTGTAGCACCTCATTATGGGCAGCGTAGTAGCAAGGCGTCCACAGATTTTGTTGACTTCGCTGGTGTCACTGAGGTACATATATTTTGTAATTAAGGTTTCAAGTTTAGTTTACGTTTACTTGTTTCCGACATTAGTTTACTAATTGTGTTTTGTAGGTTGCTGCTTGTTACTTGAGGATCTGTGATCTAGCGGATTACATAGTGGCACATGGATCGGTCTTCCCATGTGCACCGAGAGATATGGTGCATGGTGTTCCCCTCCTTCCCCACCAAGTTAAGGTCTTTGTGACCCTTGTGCTTCCTGGAATGGGTGAATATACCATTCCTTGTCCGACTAAGCATATAGAGACTGTGGCCGATTAAGAGGGGAGCTTCGTTGCATGGCCAAAGTCGTTGGTGGGCCTTGGAGATGTAAAAAGTAAATAAATTTAGTTCTTTTTTATTCAACATCATTTGGGTTGTGTTTCATATATCATTTTTTTTAAATATTCGTAGCCCCTGGTGCAGACGGCTCGACATGGCGACTTCTCATCAAGCAAATCTCGTCCCGTTCTCGGCGTACATCCCACTTCTCCTAGCTCTCCCGTACAGGATGTTGTTGACCAGAGCTCATACGTCGCATTCGGGCCAAGGTGTAGAGAGTTGTGTCAGTGGCTGACACACACATCTGCTTTTCCTACCATCAACGTCATTCTCGATCCCGAGTCCATGCTCTATCTAGAGGAGACAAAGCTGAGGATGCGTCCGGAGACTACGTGAGTTCATGCGATGGTAGGAGGTCGATCAGACCATCATCATTGTTTTCTTGAGGTATGTCAAGCACTATGTACGAATAAATTACTATTATAATTATAATTATTTCTTATAATTGTAATTATTGTTTACATGTGAAATTACTATATTGTTGCACGATCATATGATGGAGCACAGCATCGCGTCTGTCGGGTTGTTATGTCCGGAGAACATGGCATACGTGGTAGATTTTGGAGATCGCCAGTATCTGGATAGAGCACTCGAGACCTATCAATCGCGACACTGGATACTTATGTCGTTGTATCTATCGACACCGTATGTTTTCTAAATCATTTCCAATATGTATTTTGGTTTTTTATTTTAAGTTAGTGACTAACGCTTTTTCAATTGTAGGCATCATTGGGTGTAAGTTGTAATACGTTTGTTTGAAAATAAAGTGTATTTCCTAAACTCAATCAAGGCGACCGGAGGGCATAAGAAAATGAAGGTGAAGACTTTCGTCAATGAGTAAGTATTAAGAAATTTATTTCTTATTAATGAAATTTTTTATTTGTTAAGATATTAATTTCTTATTAATTTTTTTTACATATATTAAAGGTCTTGGCGGTTACTTCGGGAACGGCACATTCCTCAGCTTAAGGCTTGACCGGATTGGGTTGATGTTCCCGGAGTACCCCAACAAGAAGGGAACGTTGATTGTGGTTATTATACCATGTGATTTTGTTGGCTCATCGTCAATATGTGTGCACAATGTTTTGTACCGTTATCCAATGTAAGTTTGTTTTAGTGTGTTTTTGAAAGTAATGAAGTGTAGGGTAATGAACTTGTGTAAGTTTAATTTGTGTTATACTAGAGCCAAATTAGTGGAGGTTAGAGAGTTTAGGGAAGGGGGTTTTCTCGATGAACTTGTCTAAGTTTAATTTGTGTTGTATTGTATAGTATTAAATGTAAGTTAGTAGAGTATAGTGTATTTGTTTGACTTTTAGTTGTGTTGTTAAAAGTTAGAAGAGTACGTAGTTGTTTTACTCTTATATTTTTTAAGATGTACAAATGGTGGATGCAAATTTTTACTTTTTTGGTTTAATTTGTTTTGTGGCATTTGAGTTTTGTGAATGCATTTGTGTTAGTTACTGTTGTGTTGATGGCTTGAATTCTTGGTGTTGTTAAATCTGTATATTTTGCACAGAATTCTCTGCAAAGTTAAAATGTAGTGGATCGGGAGCAAACAAAATAGTCCTGAAAAAATTATATATTTGAATCGGTTATTTGGTAATAACCGATTCAAAAGCTTAGGCATTTGAATCGATTATTACCAAATAACAGATTCAAAAGCCCCTTCCAAGAGAAAGGCTTTTGAATCGGTTATTTGGTAATAACCGATTCAAAAGCTCAGGCATTTGAATCGCTTATTACCAAATAACCGATTCAAATACTTCTTCCCAAAAATGGCGCCATTTCAGGGAATGAGCTTTTGCATCGGTTCTTTGGTAATAACCGATTCAAAAACCCTGTTCCTAGAATTGGTGCCATTTCTAGGGAGGGCTATTGCATCGGTTTTAACAACCGGTGCAAAAAGTAACCTGAGTATTTGCATCGCTGGCTTTTGCATCGGTTCAAAACCAATTTAAAAGGGTCAAAATAACCGATTTAAAAGATATTTTTTGTAGTAGTGGTATGTCCAAACACCCACTCTAAAGGAGAATCCTCAATCTCACTCTTCGTTCAAAGTGAAGCCAGCAAATGCAACAGATAGTCTATTTCCTTCAGCAGATAGATTATCCATCCAACCTATAAATAGCTCCCATGGAAGACTGAAGAAAAATAAAGCAAGAACACAAAAGTTGAGTATAGTGAAAAACTAACAAAGTTATCTCATTCACAGTTAGCCAAAAAGCTTGATAAAGAGAGATTTTTAAACTCCTTATCCAGAAGCAAACCTCTCCTTCTTCCAAAGAGCTATAGTGTAAACACTTGAAGAATACAACTTTTAATCAAACATCTTGATTAAAACGGTGCACACCAACTTTTCTACAAGTTGATCTTGCAAGTCCTATTGTTCGGACCTTGCAGTTGTTCAAGAAGCGTGACCTTCAAAGGAATAACAAAGCCATCATGAGTTTGGTAGCAATATTGGCCTTGCGAACGTATACCGTGTAGAAATTCACAAAAGTGTAATTGTTGGTTCATTATTCAACAACCAATTACATAATGGATTTTGACATAGAAGGATTACCCCACCTTCGGACCTTGTTAAAGTTTGTGTGTCTCTCTCTCTTATCTTTACTTATACTTATATTTATATTAACTACGAAACTAACCCATCCAGATTAATTACTGCTCAAAAAACCAACCAACTTCCGCACACAATCTAAGTTCACAAGAACTTTAGATTAACACTCACTTATCATTTTCAAAAGAAACGAAAAAGTTTTAAATTTGTAACAAAGTCTATTCACCCCCCCCCCCTCTAGACTTTGTATCTCACCACTTAAGGGACCACCAGTTTTAGACTTGGAAGAAGAGGGAACATCACCCTTAGAGTTAATGGAAGCCATCAAGAAAAATAACACAAGTTCGTATGCTGGATGGTGAATTTCCGTTCTGAAGAGGTGAGTCAATTTATTGGCCTGAAAACGAAGAGATAATAGTGCGACAGTCCAGTGGTTAGGTTGGCTTTTACAGGGAAGCCAAAAAGTCAGATTCTTAAAAGACGCAAAACCAGTACGATGTAATAAATATTGTCAGAAGAAAATCAATACATTATGCGCGCATGCAACCAAACAGTAAACGAAAAATGTTTTCATTAAGTACAAAGGGGATGCAAACAACAAAAATACAAAGAAAAGACACTAAGGAAGAGTGCCTGGATGGCGCTCTTCGGCTGCAGAGTTGATCTCTCCATGAGGGGGCGTCTCGAAGTAGTCTGGATTTGGGCTGAGCTCGCCATTCAGATCCGAATTGTGCATATCCGGGATGTCAACTCCGGGGGGGAGGGAGGATCTACTCTCCTCGTCCGCCGAAGGACAAGCTGGATTCCATGATAGACACCGGCCTTGATCCACTTAGGCCCTTCTTCCCTGACCTTTTGCATGCCAACCTCGTACTCGATCCAGCTGTCATAGTACTCTGCAAACTTATCCATGCAAGCTTCTTTGAAGGTCGAGGGCTGGAGGAAGTCGGCAACGACTTATTCCTTCTCGGAAATAGCCCTTTCCCTCTCTGCCTCAGCAGACCGTTACATGGAAATGGCTTCTGCCATCTCAATATCCATCTCAGCCTTTCTACCTTCGGAATGGCGCAGCTTCTCCTCAAGCTTGTCCATTGAGTTGGTGAGTTGAGCCGCTGACTCCTTCGACTCTTTCAGAAAGCCCTGCAGTTTGATCACCTCCTCTGACTTTGTCACGGCATGCATTTCAAGCTCTGCCACCTACTCGTGCTCGGCTTTAACCAACTTCCTCCGGCGGGCCAGTTCGGTTTTGATAACTCGGGTTTGGTTTGGTTCTTTTTATTCTTTTTTAGGCATTTTGAATACTTTTAGAGTTTAATTTTTAGTTGTTTAGCTTAGTTTTATTTTAATTTCTATTTTTACAATCTTCTAATTTTCTTTCAAAAATAGTAGTTTTTTTAATCAGTTTTTTTACATTCTATTATTTTTTATTTTTCCCTAACCCAAAATTATCAAATATCTTACTTTTTGGAGAAAAATATAGCAGCCGAAGACCAAAAATGCAGTTCAAAGAAGATATTGATTTTGGCTAGAGCCCAAACACATCATCAAATAAAGAAGTCCAAGCCTTGGCCTTGTCCTCTTAAGATTTACGCAAGAAAGGAAAAAAGAACTGAGAATTGAAGTCTACAACTTCTTCTTCCTCTTCACGAGAGCGCCCGGCTTCCTCAACGCTCCTCCGTCAGTTTCGCCTCAATCAATAGCAACGGCACTCTCTACTCACTCAACTCTACAACGGTAAACAATCCTCTTGCTATAAATTGATGATGATTAAAGCTTCAAAAAGGGGGGGAGAGGGCATCGCACCAAACAAAAAAGTGAGCAGCGGCTTTGGCCGCTGCAATTGACGCCACTGGAGAAGAAAGCAGACGGCGGCCAACCACGGCTCGCCGGCGTTCGACGATGGTCGGCGGTGATAGGTGTGGCAGTGCTTCAAGCTCCAATTCTACAAGTTTTTATCTTCTTCTTCCTCTAATTGGTAACCCTATATGTTATTTCTTCAATTTCTTCTCCAATTTCTTTGTAAAAGTGTTGTTTCAATTCAAGTTTACATTTTTTTTGCCTGTTGTGTGAATTTCAAAAATTTCAAAATGGTTGGTGTTCTTTTATGGGTTTTTTTAATGTTTATATTAAATCCCTTATGAATGAAAATTGATTCATACTAGTTTTCTTCAATTATTGTGCAAATTGTTGTTGAATTGGTTGAATCACACGGTTTGATTTCATAAGTAGGTTGGTATGTAGAATTTGGTTTTCATTGAAGCTATTTTAGCTCCATATTGTAATTAAATGATTTCTGAATTTATACGTGATTTTTTGTTGTGCTATGTGTTTTGTAAAATTTTAAGGATTATGGACTTCTTAGCCCCATAAGTTGGACGTTTTCCTTAAGATCCGTTATTGAGTGATTGTTATGTCGTTCGTTTGTTTTGTATTGATTTTCATAAAATTTACGTTTATTTAAGCACACAAAAACAATTTTTATGTTTTTTTTAAATATGTAATGTTTTTTTATTTCAATAGATTACAATTCTTATGCTTGAGTAATTCAAGGAGACCTGCAAAATATTTTCATCATTAGACCTTAAAGTTTATTAAAGTGTATAAATGTTCTTCGTGGATAATTTGTGCATGGGAGTTAGAATGAAAGAAAGATTCGATGTTTTATAAACTTTTTCATCTTTTGGAATCATTGTTTGAGCGCTTGAGGTGAGTGGGGGTTCAAAGTGATCCAAAAGGCCTTTGAATTTTTGACTCCGGGCCTTAAAGAGAGTTGACGATCCTCTATATGTTGTCAAGGATATGAATCAACTCAAGCCTTTGAATTCTTTTCAATTCTTAAGTGCGTAAGTTATGTAATATATTGTCTAAGTGTCTATTATACGTGTAATGTTTGTTTTGTGTTTGTTCTCTTTTTAATTTTGTTTCGGGTTTTTGGCGGTGTTCCTAGGGTTACCTAAGTTGGAAAAGTTGATTATCTTTTGAGCTTATTTCCCCCATTTTATAAAAAAATCAAAAAAATAAGAAAATATAAAAACCAAAAATATTTACTTTTTATTCAAACCCCCCCCCCTTTGTGTTTAATTTTAAGTTATATTTATAAGTTTTTATATTTATTTAGTTATAAGTTTTATACGTCTTATCATATGTGTTAGTTAGTTTTTTTATTTTATTTCGTGACAACGTGTTTGCATACTAAATTGGTTTTAAAAAGTACAAACTTTCTTCGTGGGATCAACCCTTACTTGCCCTAGCTATAGTTTTTATTTGATTATATCTTGGGGTTAGCTAAGGATATTTTATAAATTTTTAATTTGTTTTGGACCGCACGACAAGTCTTTAACAAATTTCCACTGAAGCCAAGAAGTTTACCCCCGAGGAAAACTCCGCCCCGGACTGGCGAGTATTGATGAGGCCCAGCTTCGCCATCACCTATAAGGAAACAAAGTCAGTTTTTTTTCAAGTATGGAAAGGAAAATTGCAAGTGAACTTACCTCATTGGGAACCCGAGCACGGTTTCTTGCAAGGACGAAAGAATTCTGCCCTTGTTTTTAAGCACCGCGGACAAAGACACAGCGTCAGCCTCGACACGCTCGTCGATAGCATCGTCACCAGTAAGTGGGACGACCTTCACATCTTTCTGCACGGCCGGGTGCTTGGCTTGAGGGAGATCCACCAAAAGTACGCCCTGCTCATGCGCAGCCTCCTCGTCCTCGGCCAGCAGGATCTTCATCTTCCTCTACGTCCGGGTCGGAATCATCTCCTGGTCAGGGACGGCCGTAGTAGGCCTAGGATTCTCCTCAAGCAGCGGGCCACAACTTGTTTCCTCTCCTCGGCCTCGGCTCTGGGTTTGTGCCTTGACCTTACGTGCGAATTGGAGCTGTTGCATCTTTCCTGCCAGAATAACACAATTCAGGGATAAATATCAGTGGTAAAGGACGAAACGCTTGTGAAAAAAGGTAAACCTTCAAAACTTCCATCTTCAAAGGATCTCGCATTGACGTCATCCTTGGAGCAAGACGGGCATCCTGACTCATCATCAGATTGTGCATCCTCATCCTCGTCCGCCTCTTCTTCTGATACTTCATCCATCGGAGCAGAGGCCGTATCTTCAAGACCCAATTTGGGTCGACCCCCCCCCCCCACGAAGGCTTCGGCCAGCTCAAACTGCCATTCGAGTGAGAGAAGGATTCCTACCTTCCCCAAGTTTTTCTCCGTGCACAGCGTGTACACATGGGGCAGTTTAGGGCGACAATCCTCCTAGAGCTTCTGCACGTATGCGAGAAGTTCCGGGGTGGCCTCTAGAAGAGGGTGGCGAATGAATGAATGACACCTGGGAAACCTTGCCTCGAAGGGGTGCTTGTTCTCAGGAAAACCGGAGACAAAGACAAATTTCGCCTTCCACAGTTTTGAGGGACGTAGGGACGGTGACCAACTCGCACTCGTTCTTGGCAGATACGGAAGCATACGGGTTGCCCTCGTCACGACCGACCCGGGAGATTTTGAATAGGTACCTAAACAAGTCTAGAGACCAGGGGACCCACTTCATCTGGCACTTGATCAGGAAGCTCAAAAAGCAATAGTAAGAATGTGGGATGAGCTGACCCGGAAGAAGACGATAAAAGTTCAAATATTGAACGATCAACTCGTGAATGGGAAATTAGAGACCATAGCGCATTGACCACACGTGAACCCCAACCTCGGCATCAGGGCAGGTCACGGAGAAGACATGCTTGGTCGCATGCGGTCGGCGTACTAAGTACCCCTCCCCACAAAATGCCGGGCTTCTTCAAAATCAGTGTCTAACAACTGGCAACCCGTATTTGTGATAGGACCCGTTTATAGCACGGTAATGGGTAGGGATTTGCGGGCCTTTTTCCTAATGGTCTTTGATTTCTTGGTCTTAGACGGCGGCGCCCTGGACGACGATACCACGACAACTGTCACATGGAGGGGTACCGTTTCCAGAACCGGAACACGGTCGAAACTGCCTAGCGGACCGTCATGATGGAGGAGTGGATTCAGCAGGTACATTTCCTCGAAACTTTGCACCGCTAGGTCAACAACGGGGATATCGGACGAAGACTCTTGGGATGCCATGGAAAGGTAGATATGGGTGAACTAACCTACTGACTTGGGCACGACGGTGATGACGACAAAGAGAAATCGGCGGCAGAAAGCAACGGCGGATGAGGAGTGAAAAATGACGAAGGGTGGAGAAGATTTGGGAATTTTCTCACTTATATATCGAGGGATCCAACCTGATCCAAGCAAAACATCAGTTATTTAAGGACGTGGCACATCTTTACGCGTGCGATTACGAATCTTCACGAACGGACGACATAAGAACAAGACAGAAAAGTTGTGTATCCCAACGATGCAATCATGATTTTCGAATTTCAAAACCGACACATGTAAGATCATTCCGCCATTAAGCACTCCTAAACCTTCATTAACATTCAGATCGAGCAGTGGGAGACTCCTACATACGGTCAAGGATTTTTCAAATTCAAAGGCCAAGGATTTTTCAAATTCAAAATTCAAAACATCCTAAAAATATTGGATTACTTTCTCCCGACCTCGACACGCTCGGCCAGGGAAGTAGGGGACTCATGATGGATACCCTGGAATGGGGGTATCCGGCCCAACGGAAATAGTGGCCCAACCCAGCCAAGCTTAGGCCCACCTAGTTGAGCGGAAATGAGAAGAAACTAAAGTCTCCAGAGGGCCGTTGCTGCGTCAAGATACACTCGGCCCCGGTAGACACGCTCAGCCTCGGACCACCCTCGGCTGGCCTTTTCGTCAAGGGTCTTCAAGAAGCAGATCACCTGTATTCGGCCTCGGCCCAAGATGCTAGCGGACCGGGACAACAAGCATGGAAGCTGCCTAACCACTCAAGTCAAGGGGCCCACGATTGGACCCTTGCCACACTTCCATTAGAGTAGTTTTAGCCACCCTACTTGTAACCTATTTTGTATAGCCGCCCTAGGAATAATGATGTGGTTGGCGCCACCAGTAAACAACCAAATCTTAGTGGGCCCAATCCATTGGGCTTTGAACCAACAGTCGTGAACCCCATATGTAGTTTGTATATAAGTCCTTTCTTGAGAGAATGGAAGACATGTTATCTTGCACACTAGTACTTACGATCTTACTTGATTCCCAACTTGTGCACTCTCGACCCAGTTCGATACTCTTTCGCCTAGTCTCCTAGGCCCCGGGTTCCTTAACCCAACAGATCCCTTCTCAAAATCTTCAAACTGGTATCGTGATGGTTGACCATTTCACCAAAATGTTCCAGGGCAATCAACTTCCCGTCGACTGTGGGATTTGAGTGGTCGAATAGCTCGACCATTTGTCGGATAAATTGTTCTCCTTCATTTGTTTCTCCTCTAGGTTCTAACGCTCCAGTTCAGTGAGGATTTCTTTCGTTGTTTTCATGTGTTCGCCTTGGGATACTAGCATAGCATTATTAACACAGAAATAAATGGTATCCCATGTATGTTGGACTCGCTTGGGATTGGTGGGGCCCATGTGTATGAATATATCGAAAAGTTTACTTTCGAGATTCACATCATCCCCTCCTTCAAAAAGATTCGTCCTCGAATCTGTAAGCTCAATATATGGGATGCCAGATGTGTTGTCGGTGTCTGGTGCACATTTCTCCACTTCAAGTGTTTCATCTTGACATGCGTCGGCCATGTCGCCGATAGCCGACATGCTTTCCTCTTTCACAGGCACACTTGACTCTTCCATAAGGAGAACAATTTGTTCATGTGTGATTGTGGTTTTCTGGTTCACATCATCCCGTCCTTCTTTAGAAAGATTCACCGTTGAATTTTGAAAAATAATGGGTTGGCGTTTGGCTACTTTGGGAGTAGTCGGAACATGGCGTCTAGGTTGTTCATTATACCAATCTCAAATGGTATGAGTATAGTAATAATGCCTCTCTACTCGTATAGCCGCTTTTACCATGTCGTCCAAGGAATCATCTTCGTACTATTCCACGAAAGTTTTAATGAATTTCTTAAGCCCATATAGAAATTTGTCCTTGTTGATTCTTCTGACCATGAGACCCTTGCCCAGTCCACAATGTCTCCATTTCTTGCCAATATTCTATGATGCTTTGCATTGGATTGGCTTTTGTTATAATTCCTCAGGACACCTTTGGTAATGACAAGGATTTGGTTCGGACGCCTTTTTTTACGTTTTCATGTCTCTACGAAGTGCGTTTGTCTCTTTGCTCTCCCCTGTGAGTCCTTCTTCGAGCTCCGCCTTGAACTCTGCTCTGAGTTCCACCAATTGACGAAGAATTTCTCTAAAAGCTTCTTAGGATTTTTTTGAAAAATACAACTTACAACAATAAACAAGAATAACAAAAAGAAATAAAAATAAAAAACATTATTTGTAACTTTTTTTGTTGACTCTTTTACTTACATTTTTTACTCTTTCACTCTATTTTTAACACTTTTTGTTGCTTCGACTCTTTTTTTTTAAAAAAAATTTGGACACTTTATTTGACTTTTTTAACTAAAAAATATCAAAGAATTACAACAAATGAAAAGTAAATAATACAACACTCACTAAAAGTGGAAGAAATCAAATGGACTCTCTTTTTTTCGACATTTTTTTTGTATTGTGTTTTTACAAAAACATTTGCATTTTTTTACACAAGGTATAAGAAAGAAGTTTATGGAAAGATTAAAAAATGGTGGATTGATAAGAGAATAAAATAAAATGATGGTAGAAACAAGATAAAATACTTGTTTAGAAGGACTTAGCTCTCATACCAAATGATGCGCTTAAACCCGGTGGAAGGCAGGTTGTTCGTTTTTCTCAGAACTCTTCCCTATGAATAGGTGTAAGGATAAGCTGATTTAGAGACTCACTAGTCTATAACTCTAGCACCTCCACAAGACTCGCTATGGCAACATTAAAAGTGTAGTTTTACAAATTGCAAGTTGTCAAACTCTTACGAATTTCTCGACCCGCACAAATAAAAATAACAGCCCACAAAGGATTACAAAACACACTCAAATTTAATTCAAATTCAACATTCAACATCTACCTTATAAATGAGAATACAAGACCTATTTATAGGCATGATTAATTTAAGCTAATAAATTAAATACTAAACTTCTAGGAAATTATAGTTAAACATTGAGGAAACTTCCTAAGTCAAACTAGAATCCTAATTAAATAAACTTAGTTGAGAATCCTTGATAATGTCTCCCAACCTCCACTTAAAGCCAATAGTTATTAATCTTCAAATCCAATCTTGCCTCCTTAATTACCATGTGATGACAATAATAAAATCTTCAAATATAAATTACTAAGTTCTCCTTTGGCTTTATCCTCCAGCCATGTCAATCAATGGGTTTTTAAAAGATTAATTTTAGTGATATGTTAAGATATTAATCAAATCAAGTGGTTGTTAGGATAATTAGGAAATTAGGTGGAAATTCACGACCCTAATCACCATCCAACGGCCGATCGTTCATATGTAACACCCCACTAGGTCAAGTGTCGATCGCATGCATGTGTAATCTCCTTCAGGGTCTAAGATGCAGTCGATCGTTTTCCATGAACGGTCCAAGGGTGGATCGTTGTTTGGTCCCATCTCAGAAAGAAAAGATGATGACAGTCCCTTCTCACTGATAAGTATGTTTTGTTCTTATCATTTACATGATATTCTAAACATTATTGCACGTAAATAGTATTTAATCATCTCATAAAATGTGATTTCAATGAATAAAACTCTCATTTTCATTCTAAGAGGCATATAAAAGAATTCCACATGAAATCATCACAAAGCATTCATTTTATGTTCAAATACTTGATAAAAGGAGAAAGAATCATCAAGGGATCAAGATTCGGGTTTGAACGAGCTTCCGGGAGGTCAAAAACAGTGTTCAGGGCTAAAAAAGAAGTGAAATTTGGCCAAATTTACGAACCAACAACGAAGCCTAATGGAACAGGGTCTGAGATGTCCAACTTGGACACTTGGAGTTGGACGCTTCAGCTAAATTGCAGCCCAAGAATGACACTTGATGGAAGCAGATTTGCCGGGACACGTAGCCAAAGCGACAAGATCTGGATGCTTCGATTTTAATTAGAGAGAGAGAGGAAGAAGATGAAGAAGAAGCGGAGAGGAGGAGAAAAGGATCGGGGAATGTGAAGCAAGAGTGCAGATTTGGCAGAGATTTTGACAAGGGAGAGAAGTAGAAAACAAAGAAGAAGAAAAAGATGGCGATCAGAGAAAGAGAAAGAAGTGCAGGGGGGGTTAGAGTAAATGAAAATTTAATGATAAGGGTATTTTTGGAAGGAGCAATGATAGGTTTACAAATAAAATGGTCACAAAAATCAAAAACTTACCATTTATGATTTAAACTTACATATAAAAATTATTTTAGACTACTTTATTATTTTTATTGAAATTGAGAAATAGTAAGTTTGTGAAATTTGTGATCGTTTTGTTTGTGAAAAAAACATTTTTCTATTGGAAGATTTGGGGTCAAGGCTTTATTCCGTAGGTCTGATCTGATTGAATCAGATCTGAATTTTTGAAGTTTTGATCTGATCTGATTGGATATGATCTGATCTGGTTGGATCTGATCCGACCTTATTAGGTCTGATCGAATCAGGTAAGGTCTGATCTTATTGGATCTCACCTAATATAATTTCATGTGATCTGGATTCTATCTACTTAGATCTTGTGTAACTGAATTTAAATTTGATTTCCATTAAACTTAAAATTATTACAAAATTTAATAGTTTTAAAGTATTACAATTCAGTTAACCATTAATATATTTAAACTTTTTTTGAAATATTCCTACTTTTTGAATTTTTATGAAAAATAAATAATCGGCATTAAAATAACCAAATATTAGAAAGCATGAATGCTTTTTTTAAAAATACATTTTATATGCATATTACATAATAATATATTTCATGTAACAAGTTAAACATGTATTTTAAAACAACTCTTTTTAAAGTATGAAAAATACAACTTTTTAGGATTTAACATTACTTCCATGCATCATTCCTACAAGCTGAGCAATTATTAAAAATAACAATTTGTAGTTGAAATATAATAATAAAAATAATAAAATAGTTAAAATTATAATATTAATTAAGATTTAGGCGTGTGTAGCTTTAAATAAGGTAATGTGATTTAATGAAATAATAGTAATTATTATTTAATCCTCAAAAAATATAAATATTTTTTCTATTTTTCTGCTTTGATATTCTTGGATTTGATCTCGTCTGATCTGATTTGATTGGATCTGATCTGCTCTGATCTGATTGGATCTGATCTGATGTGATTGAATCTGATCTGATCTGATTTTAATAAGAATAAGTAATAAGTAGAAAAAATAAGTCCTACGGAACGGACCCTAAAATTAGAAATGAGAATATTAATTCTGTATGGGGAAAAAATGGAAAGATTATTTCCAGATGGAATGTGTAATATTTCTTCATACTTTTTCAAATCTAATAAGCCATATTGAGCCAATATTTTTAATTCCCCTAGGAATCGAACCTTGGATACCTACCCAGAAAGAAGCTCTAACCTGGTAAAGTCTTACTGTAACGCCCCAAAATATGGTTTAAAAGTTATTGTATAACAAAAGTATTTTAGAAATAATATTTTGACCAAACAAAACATTATTTCTATGTTTGACCAAAAACGAAGGAATTTTTAGAGTCAATAATTTTTTTTAAAGATTGACTTTTATGGTTAGGTCTCGAAGAGACGAATCCAACGGTATATTTTATGAATAAACCTGTTGTACGGATTTTCAATTATGACATTTTAAAAATAAAATTTGCATAAAAATGAGAAGTGGTCAAAGATGTGAACTTTTCTAAAATGATTTATTGAAATAAATATTTAAATTTAATAATATTGATTGAATATGAGAGTAATTTTAATTATATATCAATTAACTCAATTTTGACTCTGTCAAAGTCAACAACCAAAAATATGTTGTCGGAAAAAGTATTTCAAATAAATATAAAAATTATATCATTGAATAGAGTTTGACTGTCTGATCGCAACGGTGCAAACGGATTTCAATTTGGATAAAGTTGGACCAAAAAGTGTACCCGATTGAGGTAATTTAATCAAACTAAACTGGTAAATTAAATATTAGTTGCCCCCTCCAGCAATCAACGAACGTAGGAAATCACAGAGCTCCAAAACGTAACTCCCTCTCCCAGGCCTATATATAGAGCCATTCATTCTTCATCATTTTCACACAAAATCATCCCAAAGGATAGAGGAGAGTTTAGAGAGTTGAGAGAAGCTGTCCGGAGAGCTTCCCGTCGCCGGATCAAGCCGTGGTGTTCGCTGGAAGTTTCGCCGTTTTTCCGCCGGAATCATCGTTTCACTTTGAAATAAGCCCGTAGATATATCTAGTGACTAGAATGTTCATATAGATCGTTTCTAAGTTCATAAATGGTCGTTTGGTTGAGTTTTGTGTTTGACATATTTGAAGAACCAAGAATCATAAACCTTGAATTTGTTGTTAAAACTTCGAATTGATGCCTCTAAAATGATCTACGGATCTTGGAGAACATTTCTATATAGTTTAATTGAAGTTTAGTGACCAAAAATAGAATTTGAGAAAAATGGGTTGGAGGTTGAAGATGATGAATAATAACACTCCATTTTCCTGCATTTTTTCCAACGGAACGGACGACCGTTCGAACCCAACAATCGACCATTACGAACATTTTTAAGTCCGAAAATGCTATTTTTGAAGCTATAAAATCCTATTTTTGATACCAATCAATTATGATCAATATAAAAATAATTTCTAAAAAAATAAAAATAAAAATGGTGTTTTGACAAATAAAATTTTATGTGATGTATGACGGTAAGCTAAGGTGTTAACACTCGACGCTAGGCCACTATTTGCTATTGAACATTATGATAATTATTATTGGTTGATGATTATGATAATTATTATGCTCAAGACCACGGGCCGGGTCGGGCCGAATAAATTAAAATTTTTACTATTAGTATAATTATAATTAAATAACAATAACAACATTAAGAATAACAATAATAAAAAAGAACAAAACTATTTCAAATTATTCTTTACACACATACTTTTATGGAGAAAAAAATAAATTATAAGGATATGTAATAAAATGAATACATCTTTATTACTCCGTATTATTTACAATGAATCACACATTGATTATGGTATCCCAATAAATAATAAATAATACTTTGTACTCCATACATAGTAGCAATATAAAACAAAATACATTTTATATCTTAATTTTTCTTTCATTTACTCATTATATATATTATATCAATTATCTTATATAATTACTTCATTCACTTTCTTTCTTTATTTTTGTTAGTCATTTGACAAAATAATATAATCATATCACCACTAGTTTTGTAGATCTTTTGATCTTGTTTTTTAATATGTAATTTTTATATTTTGATTTTATACCATTTTTCTTATACAACGATTTGAAAATAATCTTTGTGAAACATCGTAAACCGAAACAGACAATTTAAATTGGGATGCAGGGAGTAACTCATTACTTTTTAAAAAAAATTATTTTTTAAATTATTTAGAAGTTCTTTTCGAGTGGACTGGACCGGCCCTAAACCCGCAGGTACCCACACGGGCCGGGCTCGGGCTTCAATGTTTTGGTCCGCGATTCGTGCTCGGTCGGGCTTGGACTTCTATTGTTCGGCCCGCTATACAGGCCGAACTGAGCTTGAGCCTAGAAAATTCTCGTAAAGTAGTGTCTCGGTCCGACCTAAAACTCGACCCTGCCCGCACTTTGATCCGTTCTAGACGTAGGGGTTATTTAGAACAATTTAAAAGTTTTTTTTAAAAAAAAGAGGAAGAAATGAGACCAAATACTGGAAGAGAAGGGACGATAAAGGAAGAGCTGTGAGCAAATGTCTCCTTTTATTTCGCGTTGCCCATACGCATTTACAAGCTCAACATCTTCATCGTAGTTTTTTCTCTCAACTAGGCCTTTCATGTCTTTTGTAAAATTTCAAACAAGGAAATATCTTAGCTAGCGTTCCATTAATGAATTTATCGAGTAATAACGACATGGATACGGAGAAAGAGAATGGCATAGAAAATGACACTCACAACATAGAGACGAAAAATGAGGACGACGCATATGAAGAGATGCTGGGTGATTCTCCCCCGGTGAAGCTACTACCACCAACCAACACCGTTCCTGACGCCGAGCCTGATGATGAAGATGAAATTCAGGTTACGGGTGATGAGGATGAAGGACAGGAGACACGGGAGGCAACTGCCGATCATGACGGCGTCCAGATTCGAACAGGAGATGACGGCCCGCAAGCAACCACCTCCGCCAATGCGGAGGATAAGGGAGGAGAGTTGGCTTCTCAAGAGGAGGAGGAGATCATCACAGAGCTCCCTCTCGATCTTTCGACGGTATCGGATGAGGTTGATCAATTCATCTCTCAAATTAACAACATCTCCGTGGAAGGAGGTGATGGATCGCAGCTTCCTGTTGATATTCCCATATGTGTGGACCAATTAGCATCGCTTGTGGAAGCCAAGTTGGAGGAAATAAACAGGAGTGTGTCCAAATGGAGCCAACTAGGTGAAGAAGAGACGGCCTCGTTATTGGGTGCCGTGAATCGGGTTTCGAGGCTATCCAAATCACTCCTCCTCTCGTCTCAAATCAATCCCTCTTCAGAACAAACATACGCCCGATGCATCAGCCGGGTGGGAGGCGTCCTCCATCGCGCTGTGTCCTACTTGGAAGAGGAATTCCGATCATACCTTGAAGATTATAAGTTTCCCGATCCTGCCGATCTGCCCAACCAGGAGTCCCCTGCAGATCTGGCTGGTGATGATGCCGCGGTTGAGGAGGTAGTTGAGGGTTGTGGTAGTGATACCACCACCACCACGGCGGTTGCAGAAGACAATAAGTTCCCCGCATACCCTGAGGAAACAGTGTCCAATTTGAACAGATTAGCCAGGGCCATGATTTTCTGTGGCTACAAGACGGAATGCCTGCAGGTATACACGATATCGCGAAGGAACGCGTTGGAGGAATGCCTCCGCAAGGTTGGGTTCGAGAAACACAGCATCGATGATGTGCAGAAGATGAATTGGGAGGTCGTGGAGAGAGAGATTGTTGCCTGGATCGCAACATTCAAGCATTGCGCCGAGGTGACCTTCTCCTGCGAAAGGAAGCTGTGTGATGCCGTGTTTTGTAACTGTGGCGATGGTGGTGATGATGATGGGTCATCATCATCATCATCCAGCATCATCTTTGGTGGCTTATCCATGGGTTTCGTGCTCCAGTTCTTTGTTTTCCCTGAAGCGGTGGCAATGACAAAACGCTCCTCGGAGAAGCTGTTCAAGTTCTTGGATCTGTACGAGGCGATGCGAGACCTTCTCCCTACAATGTTCTCAAACATCCCCGGGGAGTGCATAGGGGAGCTGAAGGCGGAAGCAACCCTGACCAGGGGTAGGCTGGGGGAGGCGATGGTCTCAATTTTCACAGAGCTGGAAAACTCGATCAAGGCAGACTCTGGAAAGACCCCTGTTCCAGGGGGTGCGGTTCATCCCCTCACTCGCTACATTATGAACTATCTAAAATTAGCTAGCGACTACAAGGAGACGCTAGAGCAAGTGTTCAGAGAGCACCAGAAGATCGACAGAGCGGATTCTGCAACAGGATCAGACTTCGACTACAACAGCAGCAACAGCAACTCTAATTCCCAGCAGCCTCTGGGTCACACGGCTGCCGCCACACCCAGGCGGCAATCGCCCTTGGAAATGCAGATAGCAAAAGTAATGGAGCTGCTGGATGTGAACCTGGAAAACAAATCTAAGCTCTACAAAGACCCCTCCCTTTGCTCCATTTTCATGATGAACAACGGGAGATACATACTGCAGAAAGTGAGGAGTTCTCCGCAGATCAATGCCTTGATGGGGGACCAATGGTGTAGAAAACGGTCCTCAGATCTGAGACAGTACCACAAGACGTACCAGCGGGAAACCTGGGGAAGACTGTTACAGTGTTTGAGCATTGAGGGGCTGAACGTCCATGGGAAGATTAACAAACCTGTGTTGAAAGAGAGGTTCAAGAGCTTTAATGCGGTGTTCGACGAGATACACAAGACTCAAACCACCTGGGTAATAATTGACGAACAACTTCAATCCGAACTCCGGGTTTCCATTTCCAATATGGTCATCCCCGCCTACCGATCCTTTCTTGCTAGGTTCAGTCAAACCTTTACCCCAGGGAGACAGACGGAGAAGTATGTCAAGTACCAGCCTGAGGATATCGAAACTTACATTGACGAGCTTTTTGATGGGAATGCTAAAAAATAAATTCGAATTGAAGCTATAGCAAGATATAATGCTGCTGCGGGCTAACTCGAGTGCGTGCATGCCTTTACTTACTGGATTCCCTTCCTTACTCACCATGCATTATTTTTCTTTGGATTATGCTATCTGTACCCCAAGTTTTATACCCCAATTTGTACCCCGCAGTTTTGCACCAACACTTTGTGTTGGTGTAAAACTAATTTTTGTTAAACGCACCAATATTTGTGTCCGTGTGAATTTTTATTCACGCACCAACACTTGTGTCGGTGTAAACCATCGAAATGTTTGTGCAAACCTGTGGTGTACAAATGGGGTATATTTTTTGGTGTAATTGTACAATGGTCCTTTTTCTTTCTGTGTATTATTGTACTCCGTATTTAATTAATTCATTCATTTGGAATCTTTGTGATTGATCACCCCCTGTGATATACCCCGGTACCTACGAAAGTCTTTAAACAAATTACCGGATTAATGACTAAATCCTACGATCCTTTTTGGAATGAATTTACCCCTCCTAAACCCAAACCCTTGACCATAATTTCATTGGATTTTTCCTCACCCTAAAATAAACCCAAACAACCTATTTTCTTTCTTTACTGCCCAGGCCGTACCCCATTACCCCCACCCTTTCTCATAAAAAAAACACACCCCATTAAACTCACCAAAATGACCCACAAAATATTTCATCCTTTTCCCTCCAATTCTGGCCGAAACAGAAGAGCCAAAACAACACATATCATCCCCATAATAAACCCCAACACATGGACCCCCTTTGTCCCCTACCCAAACAACATACACACCCTCCATTTTAACCACCAAATAAGCCCTACAACTACACTCCAAAGCTAAGAATAAAACATCCCATTTGTTGAGATGTGTGGGAAGTATAAACACATCACAAACAACCATATCTCACCCCTCTTTACCTCACCCTTGGGCCGCCCCTTTCCACTTCACAACCACCATATTTCAACCACCATAACAAACCAAATTAGCCAATATATCTCACACCCCTTTCTCCCCTAATATGGCCGAACCACACCCCTCTCAAATCTCCATAAACATCATCTCAAAATAACAATCTAGCTTCCTCAATTCTTCCCCCCTACTACTGGCCGAAATACCCAAGTTCCACAAACACTACCCTCCACTTTTATTTCATTCCATTAAGGCACATCATATTAAGTCATATTTTGGTGATTTGATTAAGGAACAAAGCTTGTAATTTCCCCCTTTCCCTTGTTATTTATTTCGGCCATAGGCCTCATTTGAAAACACATTGTATTCCTTTTTCATTTCCAAGTAATAAACCATTGTGTTTGTTATTTTAAATCCCAATTTCTATATCTTAAGGTTGGTTTCCTTAAGTGTGAGTGTTAGGTTCTAGATATTTGATTAAGTGTGTTGTATCTTAATTAAATTCTAGAGTGAACCCCAAGTGAGGAGAAGAGTGTGTAATATTTCTTTAACACCAACTTGGTTTATCTATCCCAAAGAAATACTAAACAGTTTGTCACCCTCTCTTCTCCCTTATTTTCGGCCTGCTCCCATCCACCACCCTAATATCACTTTTCTCTCCACTTTTCCACTTAAACAAAAGCCTAAAAATATTCCTTCCCCACTGGCAATTTCGTCCCTAGCCTTTCCTTCCTTAAAATCCTCCATTCCTTGCACAAAACCTCACCAATATAGCCTTATAACTTCCTCCCTTTACCTTGCTGCCATTCGTGTATCTCTACCTTGGAGTTGGTGCCTATCATTTGGTATCAAAGCCTAGTTGTTGAACATCTCTTGAGGCCATACAACACACTTCCAACTCTTTTCATTTCTTCTTTCATTTCTCGGCCTAAACTGCTGCCATAACTCTCTCCTTTCACTCTCTTCAATATGTCAAACACTTCACCAAACATCACCAATGAAGAGCTCTGGGTTTCTAATACCGAGCTCAAAGCCCAAGTAGAGTACTTGGCAAAACAGGTTGCTCAACTCACTAAGTTAAAAATGAACTTGGTGAACGCTCTGGAAGAAAGTGATGAAGAAAAGGAAGAAGCTCAACTAGAAGCTGATTTTAGTCACACTACTAGAGGAACTGCACAAGAAAATGGAGCTACTGATTTTAAGGTTGACATACCAACCTTTGAAGGAAAGAATGATCCGGACGACTTTCTAGAGTGGCTGGAAATAGTTGAGCGTGTCTTTGATTTCAAGGATGTGCCCGAAGATAAGAAAGTCAAGATTGTGGCGTTGAAGTTCCGAAAGTATGTGTCCACTTGGTGGTTCAATCTTTCCACCAAAAGAAGGCGTGAAAACAAGGCTCCGGTGAAAACTTGGTTCAAAATGCGGAGCTTGTTGAAGAAGAAGTTCTTGCCCAAACAATACGTACGAGACAACTTTGCTAAGCTTCAACACTTAAGGCAAGGTACCCGGTCTGTTGAGGACTATACTCGGGAGTTTGAAGAGCTCTTGATGAGATGTGATCTTCAAGAAAATGATTCTCAAACCTTAGTCCGATATCTATTTGGACTTAACACCAAAATAGCTAATATTGTGGAGTTGCAACCCTATGACACCTTTTAAGAACTCTCCAAATTAGCTCTTAAAGTTGAGTCTCAACTTAAGAGGAACAAAGTCCCCTTGGTTCGCACATCCCCTTTCTCCAAATCACCCTTTACCTCTCCAAAAACAGCCCCATCACCTACTACCCAAAGCCCTACCTCAAAATCTAATTCCATCCCCTCTTCCTCAAATCCGCCCCCCTTCAAAGCAAGCCAAACCACTACCCGAGCTCCCAAGTGTTTCCGTTGTCAAGGGATAGGTCATTATGCCAATGAATGTCCTAATAAGAAAATAATGGCCATTGTTGAGTATGAAGAAGAAGAAATCAGTCCCTCGTGGGCTGAAGAAGAGCTTGAAGAAGAAGAATGTATCGGAGCAGACGAAGGAGAACTCTTGGTTATCCGTAGGACCTTGAGTAGCATGGCTGGTCCCGATGATCAACTACAATGGGAAAACATCTTCCACACCCGTTGTACTATTCCAAAGAAGGTGTGTTCTTTGATTGTGGACAGCGGAAGTTGCACCAACGTGGCATCCAAAACGTTGGTTGAAAAACTAAAGCTCAAAGCCTCACCCCATCCTAAGCCATATACAATCCAGTGGTTGAATCATGGAAAAGGATTGCGTGTGGATTCACGAAGCTTGGTCTCATTAAGCATCGAGAAAAGCTACACCGATGAGATATGGTGTGACATTATACCCATGGATGCTTGCCATATTCTCTTGGGCAGACCTTGGCTCTTTGATCGCAAAGTTTTTCATGATGGGTTCGCCAACACTTATTCATTCCTCATGAATAAAGAGAAGATCACCCTCACTTCCCTACCCCCTGCCACTCATTCGGCCACCCCACCCACCAAAGAAGATCCCCCCATCCTCTTCTCTACCATACTCCACTCCGAACTACACGAATACGAACACCACAAAGAGTTCATTCTCCTTGACACCCTTAAGGCTGAACTAGTCCCTGCCCCTCCTTCTATCCACCCCTTAGCCAAACACCTCATCCAACAATATTCCCAAGTCTTTCCCGATGACATTCCTCAAGGTCTTCCTCCAAAACGGGACATACAACACAAGATCGACCTAATCCTAGGGGCTGCTCTCCCTAACAAACCCGCCTACCGTATGAATCCCGAGGAAACCAAGGAGATACAACGACAAGTGGATGAATTGCTTGCCAAGGGATTCATTAGAGAGAGCTTAAGCCCATGCGCTGTTCCTGCCCTCTTGGTACCTAAAAAGAATGGTACTTGGAGGATGTGCTGTGACAGTCGTTCGATAAACAAAATCACCATCAAGTATAGGTACCCAATACCTAGGCTTGAAGATATGTTGGACGAGCTCTATGGATCCAAAATGTTCTCTAAGATTGATCTTCGAAGTGGATACCACCAAATTCGTATCTATGAAGGTGATGAATGGAAGACGTCATTTAAAACGAAGTTTGGGTTATACGAATGGCTAGTCATGCCGTTTGGACTAACCAATGCACCGAGTACGATCATGAGGCTCATGAACCAAGTGCTGAAGCCTTTCATTGGTCATTTTGTCGTAGTTTATTTCGACGACATTTTGATCTATAGCAAAAGCGAAGAAGACCATGTTAATCACCTTTCCTTGGTGATTAAAAGATTAGATGATGAGAAGCTATATGGGAATCTTGAGAAAAGTCAGTTCTTTTCTCAAGAAACGGAGTTCTTGGGATATTTTATCTCAGGTGAAGGCATTAAAGTGGACGACAAGAAGACTCAAGCAATAAGAGATTGGCCCACTCCCACGTCATTACAGCAAGTACGAAGCTTCCACGGGTTGGCTTCATTTTACCGACGATTTGTGAAGGATTTTAGTACCATCACAGCCCCACTCACAGATTTGACGAAGAATCCGAAGTTTGAATGGAACCAAAGAGCACATAAAGCTTTTGAAGAGATTAAGGAACGTTTAACACACACTCCTGTGTTAGCGTTGCCTAGTTTTGAAAAATTGTTTGAAGTAGAGTGTGACGCTTCCGGAGTTGGCATAGGTGCTGTCCTAAGTCAAGAAGGACATCTGGTATCATATTTTAGCGAAAAGCTTAATGATACCAGAAGGCGCTATTCTACGTACGACAACGAATTCTACGCCTTGATACGAGCCATTGAGCATTGGCGCCACTACCTTGTGAGCAAAGAATTCATCCTCCATTCTGATCATGAAGCATTGAAATATATACAAGGCCAACACAAGCTTCGACCTCGCCATGCCAAAGGGGTCGAATATCTCCAAACTTTCACCTCGACAATCAAACACCGCAATGGAACCCTCAACAAAGGAGCCGATGCCTTGTCAAGGCGACATTTATTACTAACGGTACTTAGTACCAAACTTGTTGGCTTTGAGTGTTTGCAGGAACTTTATGCAATGGATGAAGATTTCAAGGACACTTTTGAGAAGTGTAAAATTCGGCCCTATGGTGAATTCCTCATCAAGGATGACTATCTCTTCCGTGGGAACCAGCTTTGCATACCCAAATGCGGTGTGCGTGAGACGATCATTGACAAGGTTCACAGAGGAGGTCTCGCTGGTCATTTCGGATTTGTTAAAACATACATGAAGATGAGAGAACACTATTTCTGGCCAAGGATGGAACGGGACGTTGAACACTTCATTAAGAGCTGCCACACATGTCATCTAGCGAAAGGACATGCTCTACCGCAAAGAAGACATCTAGCACTACCTATCCCCGACGCACCGTGGGAAGATGTGAGCTTAGACTTCATAACTGGACTGCCTAGGACTCAAAGAGGAAAGGATTCCATCATGGTCGTGGTGGATCGATTCTCTAAAATGGCCCACTTTGTCCCGTGCGTCACCACGTATGACGCATCCCAAGTAGCCGATCTCTACTTTAGAGAGATTGTCAAACTTCATGGCATTCCGAGAAGCATGGTCTCAGATAGAGACACAAAATTCTTAAGTCATTTTTGGATGACTTTATGGAGGAAATTAGGTACTAAACTTAAGTTTAGTACGGCTAGTCACCCACAGACTAACGGACAGACAGAGGTCACCAACCGTACTTTGGGAACACTTCTACGAGCAATTATAAAGAAAAATATCAAGCAATGGGAAGAACTTCTTCCCCATGCCAAGTTCGCGTACAATCGCAACCCAAGCAAGACTACCGGACTGTCTCCTTTCACGGTGGTCTACGGCACGAACCCATTAACTCCACTTGAGCTTGACCCTATCATGACGGATACAAAGTTCAGTTGGGAAGCGGAAAAGAGATCAAAAGAAATTCAGGACATTCATGAAAAGGTTCGTAGAAAAATCGAGGCTATGAACGAAAGGTTGAGCACACGCATCAATCAAAGAAGAAATCCCACAACCTTTCAACCTGGAGATTTGTTTTGGATACATCAGCGGAAAGAGCGTTTCCCCATGAAACGAAAGTCAAAGCTACTGCCAAGAGCTGATGGTCCCTTCGACGTTTTGGAAAATATCAACAACAATGCATACAAGATTAACCTTCCGGGAAACTATGGAGTATCTGCGACATTCAACATCAAGGATTTGAGTCCATATTTTGAAGCCTAGGATATCCCAAGTTTGAGGACAAACTTCTCTGAAGAGGGGGAGGATGATATACCCCTGGTACCTACGAAAGTCCTTAAACAAATTACCGGATTAATGACTAAATCCTACGATCCTTTTTGGAATGAATTTACCCCTCCTAAACCCAAACCCTTGACCATAATTTCATTGGATTTTTCCTCAACCTAAAATAAACCCAAACAACCTATTTTCTTTCTTTACTGCCCAGGCCGTACCCCATTACCCCCATCCTTTCTCATAAAAAAAACACACCCCATTAAACTCACCAAAATGACCCACAAAATATTTCATCCTTTTCCCTTCAATTCTGGCCGAAACACAAGAGCCAAAACAACACATATCATCCCCATAATAAACCCCAACACATGGACCCCCTTTGTCCCCTACCCAAACAGCATAAACACCCTCCATTTTAACCACCAAATAAGCCCTACAACTACACTCCAAAGCTGAGAATAAAACATCCTATTTGTTGAGATGTGTGGGACGTAAAAACCCATCACAAACAACCATATCTCACCCCTCTTTACCCCACCCTTGGGCCGCCCCTTTCCACTTCACAACCACCATATTTCAACCACCATAACAAACCAAATTAGTCAATATATCTCACACCCCTTTGTCCCCTAATATGGCCGAACCACACCCCTCTCAAATCCCCATAAACATCATCTCAAAATAACAATCTAGCTTCCTCAATTCTTCCCCCCTACTACTGGCCGAAATACCCAAGTCCCACAAACACTACCCTCCACTTTTATTTCATTCCATTAAGGCACATCATATTAAGTCATATTTTGGTTATTTGATTAAGGAACAAAGCTTGTAATTTCCCCCTTTCCCTTGTTATTTATTTCGGCCATAGGCCTCATTTGAAAACACATTGTATTCCTTTTTCATTTTCAAGTAATAAACCATTGTGTTTGTTATTTTAAATCCTAATTTCTATATCTTAAGGTTGGTTTCCTTAAGTTTGAGTGTTAGGTTCTAGATATTTGATTAAGTGTGTTATATCTTAATTAAATTCTAGAGTGAACCCCAAGTGAGGAGAAGAGTGTGTAATATCTCTTTAACACAAACTTGGTTTATCTATCCCAAAGAAATACTAAACAGTTTGTCACCCTCTCTTCTCCCTTATTTTCGGCCTGCTCCCATCCACCACCCTAATATCACTTTTCTCTCCACTTTTCCACTTAAATAAAAGCCTAAAAATACTCCTTCCCCACTGCCAATTTCGTCCCTAGCCTTTCCTTCCTTAAATTC